TATCTTCATTTGTTGTTTTCTTCTATTTTTCAATATAATATTTAAGTAAATTTTATCTGATAAGAATTAAGAACAATATATAGTTATATTATATTTTACTATCTCAAATATTTTTGGCAAATATATACTATATGCCAATAACTTATATGATATCAGATGTATAAATTAATTATTAAAAATGAATGATTAGTTAAACAAAATTAATAAATATTAAGAACTCATCTAACGCTCTTTTTGGTTTAACTTAGAAGGAAAATTAAAGATGGAATGCGAGTAAAAAAGATATTACAATTACATAAAATTCAGTTTAGTAAATTAATTTTGCACTTTTTGAAATTGACAATAAATTTAGTTTCGAACTGAACATATTTCTGAAATTTACAATTGGGTAGATAGGGACTGCTTTCTTTTGTTTAAAAATTATCTTCGTCATTTCTAACCCAAAACATTCCTTCAATTCTCATACAACAATTAAAAAATGGAAAATAAAACATCAAATAATCAGAAATTTATATCATAAGGCTAATCACCAACAAAAAGATCAAGTGATTTGTAAATTTTAATAACATTTGTATTTGAAAAAGTAATGAAATGGAGTTTAATTGATTGTCTTTTTATTTTAATTATTAATTATATGGAATTTAATTATTAATTCATTTTTAACAATTGATTTCTATTTATATAATTTTTAATACAATAAAATGTAAATATATTATTGCTTTAAACTGCATTTTTTCAATATTTGTTTTGCATTAATCAAATCAACAATGTACTGAATTCAAAAGTTTTTTATATGATTAATTATGAAATTGTTGTGTTTTATATTAGTCTTGCATAAAATAATTCAAGAGTTTTTGCATCATCATCATATAATAATAATTGTTCAATCCTGTTATATGCCTATATGAATCAAACTATATGAAGTACGCTATCACAAATTATTTCAAATCGTGCTATTTCTTTATCATAATTCTAAATTTTTTATAAAATAAATCCTATTAATCTTAATTTATTAACAACAGCTGAATGTTATTATTAGATTTAATAATTTCTTTCTGGTTTAAACAACAAGCAAGCACTATTATGTTTTTCGAAAGCATAAGAATTAAACAGAAAATTGTATTTTTCTATTTCTATATATCCTAATAATATTAATTATTATAATTCATTAGAAAAAACAATTTATAATTGATTTTGACCTCATTCCAGCTCATTTTTTAATCAATCAGAATAGTATCAATTCTAATTTATTATTAATAATTTCTCGCAATTCATATGACTAAATTTATTGCTCGAGATGAATTTGTCGGGGAAGAGTTCCAAACTTAAAAGATTTGATTGGTTAATTTATCCTCTATTTTTTAAATATGAAGAATTAAGCGAAGAAACCTAAATTTAAAATTACTAATCAAAATACAGGAATTAGTGTATTTCCTAAGAATGATTAAAATTTAGAAGTAAATCTCAATTAAACATTCCTCAGTAATTCTATGTTATTATAAAAGAATATATTTTCTTATAAAATAATATATCAGGATATTCTATTTAAAATAGTGGCTGCATTTAAAAGGAACTCAATCTTAGTTATATAAATTATAAATTTTCAATATAGTAAACCACTTCAAAGAAATATTAAATAGTTGAATTAGTTGAATTAGAATTCAACATTTAAGAAACCAACCAGTAAACAATTGTTATTTGGAAGTTAGCTCAGATTCCTGGGAGAAACAAAATGAAAATTAGCTTTTTGTAAAAAATGCAAAAATGTCCATACTAACATATTTAATAATAATAATACCTTGAATATTTTGGTTATAAGAGCAGTAAACTAATTTGTAGAGTCCATATAGAGTAATGTTTATTTATTTTAAAAAGGTCTATTCTAAGCCGATTTGCTACTTCAAAACAGAGCATTTATAAATATAGTGAAAAATACTTAGAAATGAAGATTGCATTAAGAAAAATTACTATTAAAGAGTAAAGAACTAATTAACAATAACAGAATAATATCGACTAAATTTATGATAAAACTCTAATTTTACAGAATTATAAATTGGAATTAATAGAAAAATTTTATGAAATATTCAAAGTTGATAAAAAAGAATTTTTCAAATTATTAAGAAATCTTTCATTCTGAATAACATTTGTATCTGATAGATGGGTGATCTAATTCAGTATTATATTAACCATTACCTATGCCTTCCCTAAAATTTGATAAAAAATGATTCCTTCCTAAAAAGCTATTTCATTAGATTGTATAACATATTAATTTGTAAAAATGGAAATGGAAGATATTATGCGAGCAAAAAAGTTTGCCCTCATCTGGTTAAGTGGTAATTGTAAGGTATCATGTAGAATGATGTTATAATTATTCCAAAGCAGCTTTGTAATTATCACAAATCCGATTGAATTGAGATTGATTAAAGTTCTAAATATTGATGATTTTGAAATTCAGATCAAAATATTTAATACTAACTTTGTGATAGTTTGGACTGAAATAGACGCGAACTCCTTTTCCTAAACATATGTTGGAGTGTATAATACTGGAAGTGGGTTTTCGATAAAATAAAATATAAATGAAAATTAAGATGATATTCAATTAATCCATAATTATTGATCTAGACCTCATACTATCAAATAATCTATATTAAAAACAATAATATTATAAACTCATTAACTATTGATAGTACAACTGCAAAATACAAACAACTATATTAGAGCACAAATTAGATTGACTCCATTTCTTCAGATAATATGGACAGCAGTGGATTAGCTATTGGTTGGATAGAAAGTTAACTTAACTTATTAGGAATATAGAGTTATTATGCTTATATATAATGGTTTGATAGATAGTTGAATCAATAAGCAACTAAGAGAATAGCTATAAACTCATACGTTACAATTAAGAGTTTATATCTTACTTATTTTCCTAATTCATATATATAATTAACCTACATTTAAATTGAAAAGGGGGAGTAATAAAGAATAAGAGTATTTTTTGCTTCGTTATCCTTTTTAATGTATGGATCATCTCAAGAAATGGTGACATCTCCGTTAAATATATTAAGTTAGTATTAATCAAATACAAAATTATTAACTTATGTAGATACAAGAAATTAAATGTCATATGTTGTATTCTAAGGAGTAATGAATAATGTGAATTATATATTCTTTATTCAAAGTAAAGGATCATACCTATATCAAGATAATTGTGAAACAAATTGCTTTTATTGTAATAATAAGAATATATGCGTAATTTGCAAATAAGGTTATACATTACAGAGTAATAAATGCAACTTAAAATTACCAGATTATTGTTCTAGTGGAAATAATGGAAGATGTTCTTAATGTGCTTTAGGTTACTCTGTCACATCAGATTATAAATGTTAGATTAGCGATTCAAAATATTAAGAGATTAAAATGAGTGTCTATCCAGCTTCAAGTAGATAAAGAATTTCTACATTATCTAATGGAGATTATGTTGTTGTATGGTCAACTCAATTTTATCAAAATGAAGGAACAGGAATTTACATGTCATTGTACAATTCTCAAGGAGTGTTATTGAAAGAATAAATGAGAATATCTGAATCATCAGCAGGAATTCAATAATATCCTGATGTTTAAGTAATGAGCAATGATTAAATAGTCGTTGTTTGGATAGATGGTAATATTTTAGTAAATGCTCATATCAAGATGTTAAGATTTGATAAAGATTTCTTAAGAATTGGAAGTGAAACTATCATATAATCAGATATTCATCTTTATTATGCCTAATCGTATGATACTCCAGTAATCATTTAATCAATTATTAATGGGTTTGTTATAGTATGGGCAGAATAAGGAAATCAGAAATAAATATCATTAATTGCTAAATTCTTTGACAATAATAATAATTTGCTTAATACTTAAGTTATCACTGAAAATGAATAAATAATAAATGAACCTGTTGTTGCATCATCTTAATCTATTATTGTGATATCTTGGTAAACAAATAAAGGTGTTTTCGCTAGTTCATATAGTGTAAATCAAGTGTTGATAGATAAAGTATAATTATCAACAACAGGAGAAGCTCCTGCAATCACATCTTCAGATACATTCATAATTATTGTTTGGAAAGAATATGTCATTGATGAGAATGATTTTATGAGTTAGAAAATCAGATTCAGAAAAATCTCAACAGATTTAAATCAATATCAAATTTAGAGTCATTTTGGTGTTTATTAAGAAAATCTAGATAATCCTGATGTGATATCAATTGATAATGGATTTGCCATTATTGCTGAAAGCGCATCTGTATTAAATGATAAAGTCAGAACTATCTAAATGTAATTGTTTAATTTAGATGGCTCAACAAAATCGCAACCAGTGATTATTTATTCTGTTTCAAACCTATACCCACATCATCCCTAATTAGCAAGCTAACCATAGGGTAATTTCATAGCTTCATGGACAGTCAGTAGTCTAATATCATAAATTTTAAGTGATGATGTCTATATGAAAAGATATAAGAGTGATGGCACCTAATTAGCATTAAATACAATCGTTTGCTAAAACAATTGCTAGACTTGTTCAACTAGTAATGTTTGCTAAAGTTGTAAATCAAATTATGTTCTATTATCTAATTCATGCTATTTAGAAATTAATAATTGTGAAACATATTTAATTGAAAATTCAACTCTAACTTGTAGTCAATGTTCAAATGGCTTTGAATTGATTAAAAATAATTGCTATTAGATGAATACAGTTTCTAATGAATAGACAATAGAATTTGTAAATGATAAAGCTTTTCTAAATATTTTTAAAGTGTTAACTTTTTCAAATGGCGATCTTTTATATTTTTGGATGGGAGAATATAAAATAATAACTCAAAGATTTGATAAGTTTGGTAAAAGATATTCCAATCCTAAAGTATTATAAACAACAACTTCCTGTACAGATTGCAGATATTACTTTGATGTATTAGCATTGTACTTAAAGGAGGATCTATTTGTAATTTCCTTTAAAGCTTTCTAAAATTAGTATGACTTTTAGGTAACATATATAAATATTTTTGATATGAATGAGAAATGCATATCAAGTAATGCAATTTCCTCTAACACAGGGAATTCTAATTCTCTTATAATTTAAAAGTACTCANTCATCTCAAGAAATGGTGACATCTCCGTTAAATATATTAAGTTAGTATTAATCAAATACAAAATTATTAACTTATGTAGATACAAGAAATTAAATGTCATATGTTGTATTCTAAGGAGTAATGAATAATGTGAATTATATATTCTTTATTCAAAGTAAAGGATCATACCTATATCAAGATAATTGTGAAACAAATTGCTTTTATTGTAATAATAAGAATATATGCGTAATTTGCAAATAAGGTTATACATTACAGAGTAATAAATGCAACTTAAAATTACCAGATTATTGTTCTAGTGGAAATAATGGAAGATGTTCTTAATGTGCTTTAGGTTACTCTGTCACATCAGATTATAAATGTTAGATTAGCGATTCAAAATATTAAGAGATTAAAATGAGTGTCTATCCAGCTTCAAGTAGATAAAGAATTTCTACATTATCTAATGGAGATTATGTTGTTGTATGGTCAACTCAATTTTATCAAAATGAAGGAACAGGAATTTACATGTCATTGTACAATTCTCAAGGAGTGTTATTGAAAGAATAAATGAGAATATCTGAATCATCAGCAGGAATTCAATAATATCCTGATGTTTAAGTAATGAGCAATGATTAAATAGTCGTTGTTTGGATAGATGGTAATATTTTAGTAAATGCTCATATCAAGATGTTAAGATTTGATAAAGATTTCTTAAGAATTGGAAGTGAAACTATCATATAATCAGATATTCATCTTTATTATGCCTAATCGTATGATACTCCAGTAATCATTTAATCAATTATTAATGGGTTTGTTATAGTATGGGCAGAATAAGGAAATCAGAAATAAATATCATTAATTGCTAAATTCTTTGACAATAATAATAATTTGCTTAATACTTAAGTTATCACTGAAAATGAATAAATAATAAATGAACCTGTTGTTGCATCATCTTAATCTATTATTGTGATATCTTGGTAAACAAATAAAGGTGTTTTCGCTAGTTCATATAGTGTAAATCAAGTGTTGATAGATAAAGTATAATTATCAACAACAGGAGAAGCTCCTGCAATCACATCTTCAGATACATTCATAATTATTGTTTGGAAAGAATATGTCATTGATGAGAATGATTTTATGAGTTAGAAAATCAGATTCAGAAAAATCTCAACAGATTTAAATCAATATCAAATTTAGAGTCATTTTGGTGTTTATTAAGAAAATCTAGATAATCCTGATGTGATATCAATTGATAATGGATTTGCCATTATTGCTGAAAGCGCATCTGTATTAAATGATAAAGTCAGAACTATCTAAATGTAATTGTTTAATTTAGATGGCTCAACAAAATCGCAACCAGTGATTATTTATTCTGTTTCAAACCTATACCCACATCATCCCTAATTAGCAAGCTAACCATAGGGTAATTTCATAGCTTCATGGACAGTCAGTAGTCTAATATCATAAATTTTAAGTGATGATGTCTATATGAAAAGATATAAGAGTGATGGCACCTAATTAGCATTAAATACAATCGTTTGCTAAAACAATTGCTAGACTTGTTCAACTAGTAATGTTTGCTAAAGTTGTAAATCAAATTATGTTCTATTATCTAATTCATGCTATTTAAAAATTAATAATTGTGAAACACATTTAATTGAAAATTCAACTCTAACTTGTAGTCAATGTTCAAATGGCTTTGAATTGAATAAAAATAATTGCTATTAGATGAATACAGTTTCTAATGAATAGACAATAGAATTTGTAAATGATAAAGCTTTTCTAAATATTTTTAAAGTGTTAACTTTTTCAAATGGCGATCTTTTATATTTTTGGATGGGAGAATATAAAATAATAACTCAAAGATTTGATAAGTTTGGTAAAAGATATTCCAATCCTAAAGTATTATAAACAACAACTTCCTGTACAGATTGCAGATATTACTTTGATGTATTATCATTGTACTTAAAGGAGGATCTATTTGTAATTTCCTTTAAAGCTTTCTAAAATTAGGATGACTTTTAGGTAACATATATAAATATTTTTGATATGAATGAGAAATGTATATCAAGTAATGCAATTTCGTCTTAAACAGGCAATGATAATTCTCTTATAATTTAAAAGTACTCAGACAACTTAGTTAAATTAGTATTATTGGAAGATATGAAATTAGGAGTGATATAAATGGTGATGATATAGGACGTTCCAATTTTATAGTTAGTTATTCTTCCATTATTTTTGGATAGTATATTCAAGATTAATTTCTCACCTACTTAAACGATTTAATTACTAACTTATTCTTAATTTAAGAACTCTGAATATGTTGAAATCCAATTAATTGATACTGAAATTAAGATCTTCAATAAGAATAATTTTTATAATAGTTATTTATTGAGCAGTTTTGACAGCTTTGGGGTGATGCTAAATTAAAATACAGTCAAGAAATCCCAAAATCAAATAGAGTTTAAAATTATTTCATTAAATTCAAAGAGTGATTTAATTGTTTGGACAACAATAGAATCATCTAAATATGAAGTTTTCTTTTAAATTACACAAAAAGATGGAATAACATAAACTAGTCCTTGGAAAATCTCAACTGGAAGTTAGATTTATAAACTAGATTTATAACTTCACGTACTTTCGGATTCAATATTGATAACTTGGAGAGAAGGTTCAGAGTTTTCAGATATGAATTTGAATACCGCCTATAAAGGAGTGATTATATCGAAAAAGCTTTAATTTATGATTGGGGAAACCATTGAAATTAAATAAGATAATGCTTACACTAAATCATTGGGTAGACTTGATGTAGTTGAATTACCAAATCATGATATTTTAGAATAAAATCTATAATGTAATTGTCTATAAATTAGTATTATGTTTTACAACATTTTGGCGGACACCTAAATGATAATCTCTTATAGATTCAACGAATTAGGCAGTAAAATATATTTATCGTAGTAGAGGTGCGGCTATGGTTGTCAAGAGTGTAACTTTTTAGGATTTTGTTTCAAATGTACAAACCCTGATTTATTTATTTTATAAATTGATGGAAAATGTGTTAAAAAACCTGAAAATTGTGTTAATTTCAAACCCTATTGTCAGGATTGTCTTGATGGTTATTATAAAACCTAATAATATCTTACCTGTGAGAAAATTGATCAACAAATTGAAAAAGCCATTTCTTTAGATTATGAAAGCTATTATAGCTACAACTATATATATTAGATTGCTACATACTCAAATGGCAATTTTGTAGTTGTGGGTTTTAAAGAGGAAAAGGTTATTGAACTAAATTATTTTTTAAGTGATGGTACTGTTTAGTTTCAAAAACTCAAAATCATAAGCCTTACAAATATTTATAGGATTAATGATATATCCATAATTATTGATGAGAATAACTTACTTACAATATTTTATTCTGTATTACCCTTGACATATTCAGATAAGAATATGTATTACTATTAATAGTTTGATTAAACATTTAATAAACTGACAGAAGCCATCTTATTGTATTCTGGATTATAATATTATGAAACAACATCCATCAAAGCCAAGATTCTTAATAGCGGATAATTAGCAATATTAATTAAGAGTAGGTTTGATATCTACCTATAAATACTGAAATTAAACTTTGAATTTGTTGCTGATATCAAATTACCTTTTAGTGATAACTTCGATTTGACATCTAATGGAGAATAAATTGCTTTTGCTTACATTAAAGATACAATTAGCATTCTTAATATCTTTGATTTGGAATTAAAATTAATTTAACATCAAATTATTAATGATGGAGGATTAATTAAATTGGCATCTAATGCACTTAAATAATTCATTATAGTTACTAACTATTAAATCAATATCTTTGCTTAAGGATTGATCAGCCAATCTTTTAATATAAATGGATCAAGCTTATATCCAATCAACATAGCAATAAGTGATATAAATGAAATTGTCATACTATCGTTCTATTAGAAATCCAAGTCTTATCTTTTATATTATTATTCAATGTAAGGGCTACTTAAAACTACTGTTTAAGTTAACATGAATTATACTGAAATACCTACACAAAATAGTTGGTTGGCTAAGTTATAGAATAATAATTTTATTGTATTCTTTCACGCCGGAAATATAAACTATAATTGGAAGATAAATTTTGCAAGATTTGATTAGTTGGGAGTTACAAGGCCTGTAAATGAAAAAATTTGTCCACAAGGTTGTATTACCTGCGAAACATCTATTGCATGTGATATTTGTAGTTTTGGCTTCCAAAAGAATAATTAGACTTTACTTTGTGAAAAATTATGTCTCTAAGTTGAATGCAGCAAATGTAAATTTAGTGAATGCGACTAATGCTCAGATGGATTCTAATTTAATGAATTTGGATAATGTGAAAGAAATCAACAATCTAACGACCCTAAAGACACTTATAATCCAAATTATGAAGAAGAAGTGAAAGATCCGAATAGCCCAGCATCACCTATAGATCCTAAAGACCCTATTGATGTTAAGGATCCTATAGACCCTACAGATCCAACTGATCCAAAAGACCCTACAGATCCAACTGATCCAACTGATCCTAAAGANAAAACCTGTGTAATGTATTAATTTCAAAACCAATTGTCAGGATTGTCTTGATGGCTATTACAAAACCTAATATCTTACTTGCGAAAAAATTAATCAGCAAGTTGAAAAAACCATTCTCTTTGATTATGAAAAATATAATTATTTCTATTAGATTGCTTCATACTCAAATGGTAATTTCGTTATTGTAAGTTCTAAAAACCATTCATTTATTGAACTAAATTTTTATCAAAGTGATGGAACTTAAAAGGTACAAAAACTCTAAACCATAGGCCTTACAAATATTTATAGTATTAATGATATATCCATAATTATTGATGAGAATAACTTACTTACAATATTTTATTCTGTATTACCCTTGACATATTCAGATAAGAATATGTATTACTATTAATAGTTTGATTAAACATTTAATGAACTGACAGAAGCCATCTTATTGTATTCTGGATTATAATCGCATGAAACAACATCTATCAAAGCCAAGATTCTTAATAGCGGATAATTAGCAATATTAATTAAGAGTAGGTTTGATATCTACCTATAAATACTGAAATTAAACTTTGAATTTGTTGCTGATATCAAATTACCTTTTAGTGATAACTTCGATTTGACATCTAATGGAGAATAAATTGCTTTTGCTTACATTAAAGATACAATTAGCATTCTTAATATCTTTGATTTGGAATTAAAATTAATTTAACATCAAATTATTAATGATGGAGGATTAATTAAATTGGCATCTAATGCACTTAAATAATTCATTATAGTTACTAACTATTAAATCAATATCTTTGCTTAAGGATTGATCAGCCAATCTTTTAATATAAATGGATCAAGCTTATATCCAATCAACATAGCAATAAGTGATATAAATGAAATTGTCATACTATCGTTCTATTAGAAATCCAAGTCTTATCTTCTATATTATTTTTCAATGTAAGGACTACTTAAAAACACTGTTTAAGTTAATATGAATTATACTGAAATACCTACACAAAATAGTTGGTTGGCTAAGTTAAACAGCTAAAACAAAAAACAATTTAACTTGAAATACAAATTCTCATATTTTTAATCCCAAAATATTAAAATGATTGAACAAGGGTTTACTTTTTAACTATCTCACTCATCTTATTATTGCCTGAACGAAAATACGGATTTTATTTTGCCAAATAAGTTTTTATTGTTATTTCATCAATCTTCAAATTTTCAAGAATCAACGTCTAGGGTTTTGATTAAATTGATTTTCTCTTAAATTTTAACTAAAAAATGTATTTTATTTATGGAAGTCTTTTAGAAGGCCTCATTTGAATTTGGAAAATAATAAATTGTTAAAATTGATTGAAGAATTTGATGGCGATTAACTCTTTTATGGAAAATAAGTCTATCCTAAAGCTAAGAAAAGTTAAATCAAGAATATTTCCTATGCAATTGTTAAGGCAGCCTCTTATTTTTCAATGAAATGGGAAATGGACATTTAAATAATTAGTATTTTATATTTCAGGATTATCAGGTGAACTAAAAAGAGATAAATTTTAAAGCAAAAGGTAAAACAGAACGATTTATAATTCTTAGAGAAATCAGAAGACAATGCAATTCGTTCTCATAATCTATTAGTGTTATCAACTCAGCTTCTAACCTTATTTGTTTAACATGCCTCAATTTAAATATTTAATTAAGTAAAAAAATTAATTTAAAAATTAACTGTAAAACAATAATTTTATTGTATTTTTTCATGCAGGAAGCATGCTTTATAATTGGAAATTAAATTTTGCAAGATTTGATTAGTTAGGGTTTTCAAGATCAGTAAGTGAAATTATTTGCCCGGAAGGTTGTGCATCATGTGAAACATCATCTGCATGTGATATTTGTAGTTTTGGCTTCAGAAAAAATCTTGAGACTTTACTTTGTGAAAAAGTATGTTTCTAATTTTAATGCAACACATGCAAATTTAGTGACTGCGACTCATGCTTGAATGGATTCTAATTTAATGAATTAGGATAATGTGTAATAATTGAACAATCTAGTGGTCCTAAAGATGCTTATGATCCAAATTATTCAGAAGAAGTGAAAGATCCAGATAGCCCAGCAGATCCCATCGATCCCATTGACCCTATTGATGTCACAGACCCAACAGATCCAACTGATCCAACAGACCCTACAGATCCAACAGACCCAACAGACCCAACAGATCCAAAAGACCCTACAGATCCAACTGATCCTACTGATCCAACTGATCCAAAAGACCCTACAGATCCAACTGATCCTACTGATCCAAAAGACCCTACAGATCCAACAGATCCAACTGATCCTAATAGTCCTATTAATATTGGAACTATTGAGCATCCTGTTGGAGATAAATATAATTTACAAATGCAGAATAAGCTAATTAATTTTGTAGATAATAGATATGCTATAATTTATATTTGTAATAGCATGTTTAGCGCCAGATTATTTAATAAAGATGGATTAGAAATTTAGAGCATAAGCCTAACAGTTGAAATTGTGTTTACTTTAGATACAATCTTATTTTAGGATCAAATTATTTTAGCATTTGTTTTTGTAAACAGACCAAACTAATATCAAATTTTTTCAATCGATAATAGTTTCTAAACTTTAAATTATAAATTAGAGATAAATACGGATTTTATTATTCATAGTATTTAGCTTCAGCCAATGACTCAAAATTTTGTAATTTTAATCTCAAATGATAAATAAGTTGAAATTGACTAAACTTTTATTAGTTGTCAGTCTCAAACGTTAACAATTTTTGATTTTGGTTTTTCATAAACAGCTAACAAAGTAGATTTCAATTATCCTGATGGAATTATTTAGAATACTTGTAATTAAAACAAAGTATCTGAAATTAAAATTGTTGACAATATCATATACACATTATCAATAAGTTAAACAGGAGGGCAATTAATATCTTTAGATTCTTTTGGAATATTAAATAACCAATTAGACCATAACTTCATTATAAGTATTATATTACTTAATTATGATGGCAAATGAATTCTAAAATGTTACAATTTTATAAAATTATTGTCGCATCAAACTACTCTCAGATACTTTCATTTCTTAAGTTAAAGGTATATATTATTTGTTTAATAATCTGTAATAGATAGAATAACCTCCTTTAAAATCAAAATCATATTAGAAATCTGCACTTGTAAAAAATTAGATTAAATTGCCATTTGATAACTCAAATACTTCACATGATTATTACTACAAAACTTAAGATTATGGGCATCTCTTCCAAATCAATTAATTACCAATAAATAGAGCGGTTTAATCTTAAGAATAAAATCTAAAATTATTATTGTCTTTTGATGCAGGGCCCACATCATTTTATTCTAGAATTATTTATGCTGATTCCAATAGATTTAATTCAGAATCCAAAATTAACCTATGAATTCTTGTCGTTATGATTTAATCCCAAGTAACGGAACAGTAAGTTAGCGAATATTAATTATTTACCTATGCCTCTAAAATCACACAGTCTTTACTTAAAAACACATCTAAACTGACCTTACTAAGATCTATAACTTTATTTAAGATAACTTATTAATTTTAACTGATCCTTATTACTTCAATAAACTCTAATGCATAACTAATTCCAACATAATCTTATTCGATTTATTAGAAGTAGATGGATGATTAGAAAACGATTGATCTTTCAATTGTTACTTTCATAATCTATATTTCTTCAGAAATGATGTAAAAATTCCAGTAATAGATGCTGTTGCCTAATGGATGATATAAAGTGAAAAAGCAAATAGTTCCATCATTTAAACCTACAAGTTCATAAATATCACCCTCAATTTCTTAAATAATTTGAGGTTTATGATAGTCTGGCTTAAGAGGAGCACATACTCCTAAAGTGTCTTCATAATATCCATCCTTACATAAATAACAAATAGATGGAATGATACAAACCATGCAACTCTCCTAACAAATTGCTAAACAGACCCCATCTTTTAATTAATAGTTATCAGGACATTAGGTACAAATATTTTCACTGCTACATTACATGCAATTATTGAAACAATAGTTTACTATTTTAGTTAAATATTCTCCTTAAGCACTCATTTTTTAAATACGAATATTTGAAGGGTCAATTTTATTTATAATATTATAATCAACCCAGATCACAAAAAATGATTGATCTACAGATTCAATGATTTTCATAAAGTTAAAATTGTCCCAATTATCTTTGATTATATATTTATTCACAAATTGAACCTCCATATTTCCACTAAGATAATACTATTCTTAAGTTGCAGATACAATGTTTTTAACAATTTCAATTAATATGGAAAGTCCTCCTTTATATTAATCAAGTTGAATAAACGAAATTTACCAGTAATTATTATCTTACTATTAGGGGAATTATTTGATCAATTTTTGATATTCAAACAAAGGAAAAAAATTTTGATCATAAAATTGAGCATATGTAAATACATTAGAATTTTCATATGTAGAAAATACAATGACAAAATATTATGAAATACTACTTAAGCAAAATTGATTGCTAAAGATTTAAGGTTATAATCCTTAAGAAATAATTAGTGATCCATCAAACGTAAAAACATTCACTTATATTCTAAAAATAACAGCAACATTCATATCAGTAGCTGATATCCAGAATAATTTATCTACATCAATCTCACCTAAAATTTCTTATGAATTTACTTGCTAATTATCGGAATTATAGAACTTTACTTTTAATATATTTTGTTATGATTCACCACTTAATGTTATGTATCCAATTACATATCCTCCATTCTTTAATTTAATCACTTTTGCTATGTAATCCAAACTATTAATACTAAACTTATTTAGTTTAATGACATCTATATCTATATCATCACCAATTCGTTATTAATTTTTAGTGAATCTGGCAATCTTAAGTAAAGCTCCTTCTTCTGGGTTACCATCAACATATAAAATAATGGCAGTATCATCATTTAATATTTAAATCTAAACAGAATGTTGGTTTCCTTGAGTAATTTAATTCACTTAAAAGTTATTTCCTATCTTTTCTCTCTAACTATCTAACACCTAACCTTAAACACCCCAATTAAATCCATTTTCATAATTACCATTCCAGATTGCCATTACGGAACCATCACTAAATGCAGCTATAGAAGGCTTACTTTGAGTGAACTAGGTAAATTCATTAACAACCAATGACTTAGATTAGAATTCGTCAACCACGCATTTTGATTCATAAGGATAACGATTTTCAGAACATTAAATACAGTAATTGCCCATAGAGATAAAACAACTGTAATCAACCTATTATTCACAATACATCCCATTTTGCAATTTATTGTGCTAAAGTTAGTACCCTGCTAAACATTTTGTACATTCAGTACTGCTCGTGCATTAGGCACAATTGAGTGAACAGGTACTAATTATTACCTTATCTAAATCTCCAGTATCATTAAGTATTGATAATTATAATCCCCATTATGCTTCATTATTTTAATGATCCCATGCAAATCCTATTTCCTAATTAGAGAAGGTAACTAACAATGGTCTACTTATTTTAGAATCAATTTAAATTGTTTCTGAAAATATTGTTTCTCCAACATTATTCAAAATTTTATAAACCAGTTTCTAGTTTAATTTATCACAATATGAAATAACAACTTAATTTAAGAGTAGAGCAAATGAAAAATCTTAGAATCTACGTACTTTTTATTAGTTATTATTAAAACAAAGTTGAATGTCTAAACAGATATTAAATATCCAATTTTCTTTTCCGCTTATTTTGTACATTATTGCAGTTAATTCATTACTCCTATCAAGTTTTATTTAAGTGATATTTGGAACATCAGCTGTATAAGTAGATACTAAACCTCCATAGTCATTTAATACGATTATTTTTACATAATATTAGTTGACATTTATTAAATAGATCATATTCCCTAATACTTTAAATGCTTTAATGATATTTTTATTACAATCATCAATAGTAAAGATATCAGGATTATTAACATCTATTTTTTGAAAGAGATTGTTATTTAATGTATCATATGAAAACAATGATTATGATAGTCCAATTTAAGAGACAGTATCAAATACATAATTCTTTAGACAAGTAATCAAGATAAGATAGTTCATCTGCAAACTTTCAATTTTAATATCCTAAGTATCTAACTCACAACTCTGATCCAATTATGGTATCAATTTATTTGTACTTTCATCTAATTTATAAACCTTACTAATTTTTGTATCTGAATAATAAACCATAGTCATGTAGATATTATCATTTACTACAGTTGCATCAAAAAGGCGAATATTTTCAACAGTAATTTCAATAAATTTTAATTCTTCTCCAGCTGAATTGAATTTTCTCATTCTCAACACATTCGAACAAATATATAGAATTGCATAATCATTGTTAGAATATTTAATTAGATCTTTAATTGGTTATTAACTGCATTTATCTGCAATTTCAATACCTTTTCCATCTTTAATTGGGTCTTTCATTATTTATTAAGGCTGATCTGGATCTGGCAGATCATTTTCTCTATCAAATATCATCTATACTAAATTATTGGTGCATATATCACCGTTACATTAATCCTTTTACATTAATATTTTGAATCCATTTTAATATTAAATAATTTCCAAGAAGCTTTAAGGTAAAGAACAAATATATATCTAATCTCCTATTTCTCTGCCGGTATTATATATAAATTAAGCTATCAAATTTTTTTGCTCATGAATTGGTTCTTAGTTTTCTTGTTAAATGAATGTGATGAATGAGTTGGTATACTTTAATACTTTAACAATTGTTTATCTATTCTAGAATTATGACAAAATTTTTCCTCTATTTTATCTTTTGTTATTTTGTATTACAATCCATTTTGATCTCTCAAAAAAAAATACCCGAAACTTTTGTAAATAGAAGGCCTAAATCTTTCTGTTTCTGTCAAAATAATTTAACTATTCTCTACTTTTGATAATCTTAAATCTAATTTAGTTTAATAAAAAGTAATTTAGTCGTAAATGGAAAATTAACTGAATATTTATGTTTATACATAAAATGTAAGAATATATGCGAAACCATTAATTGGTTCTAATAAAAAGTTATCTTATTAAGTCTAAAATTCCGGAAATTATTAAAAATCTAAATAATCTGAACAAATTAGATTTGAACTTAAATCATACCTTTGTACTTATACTTCATTTTCAAAATAGTATATAAATATGACATTTTCATCTTCATAAAATGTGAGCATCTATCTATAGAATTCTTATCTTTAGTAATTAATAGAAAAACTGTTGACTATTTCTTCTCCAAGCATCACCTTCAAATTTAAATAATAACTGAAATAAGAAAAAAAGACTTAGTAAATCTCATTTACAGTTTTTAGTTAAATTATAGTTTCACCCCTTTCATATTCAATTATTACTTAAGTTTAATAAATAGGAAGTAAAGCGCATTTTCCTTCTTCAACTAAATAGTAACCTTTTTAGCATTAATCACAATAATATGGAAAATTACATATAGCACAACCTAATTCACAAATAGGGTAGCATCGTTTTTCATTGTAGGAATAATGATTAAAGCATTAATTGCATTGAGTTTAATCTAACATTATTAACAATTTAATTGACAAACAATCTATTCTTTTACAATTATCTATTAGTCATAAGATAAAAGCTAGAAATAAAGGTTGTGATGTTTATCTAAATCAAAAACTCTATTCTCCTTTATCCATAAAATGAAGTATTACTAATTCCAAGATGGAATGATCTTAAAGTATCTATTCTTCAATATTCTCATTGATTACAGAGATGCATCTATATAAAATGTATTAAATAAAGAATATTATTAATCCTTTATTATGTAAACCTCCTAAATTTCCTGCTGATTCTCTCTAAAATTTATCCAAAAGAGTAATCCTTTATCATATTCATTCATCTAAATATTTTGTTCTTAATTATCAACTTATTTAATAGTTAAAGGATCTCCTAATTATTCGAATTATTATTATTATTATTATTATTCTATTTAACATAAAAATAACTCAATCATTCAGTTAAAAGCTTTGCAATTATTTTTTCCAATCTATTACATTAGTTTTTTGGTTATTGTATTTACTAATTATTATTGAAGATGCCTCTTAGATTTATTAAAAACTCTGAAATATGGAAATTGGAATGGAAATTTATTATATGGCGGTATGAAAGATTACATTAGTGGGTCCTACAGATTTTAGGGTACAGGTAGAACAGCTAATTAAAATTATTGGGGAGAAATTTGTATATTGAATTTTAATTCATTTCTTCTATCTCGTTAAAGTAATTATTGATAAAAGTAGTTTAACCAAAGTTTCCGTTGTTCATCCTACTGATAACCTTATTTGTATGCTTTGCTATAAGAAGTTCTAGAGGGGGTAATATCAAATCTAAAAATTCGTTAGGTAAGCATTTAGGAAATCCACAAACCTTTTTAAAGCTAGATTTATATAATTTTTATAAGCGTTGAAATATGTTTTTGTATTTCTAGGTTGGGATTGAAGGACAAATATAGAGTATGTGTGGAAGGAGAAAAGTTTAGAATAATTAATATTTCTGCTTCCAATTAAGTTTTTAAGAAACCCATAGCAACTTTCCACTTAAAAATTTTAGAGTTTATTCTACTTTATCAAGCTATAGACTTATTTTTCCATTGTTCAATATATTTATTCCGAGGTATTTATAAGATTTCACAATAGGAAATCCTTATATATTGTTATATTAACAGCGCTTATGATTTTGGATGAAAAAGATTCCACATTTTTTCTAGTTTAATCTAAGTTCATATTCTTCAGAAATTAAAACCAACTTTTATAAAAAGGATTGGATATTTCTATGAGCAATAATAATTACAATGTCGTCCGCAAATTCATAGGAAGTATAATTAAAATTACAGTTTTGTTTTAATGAAGCTAAAAAATCTTCAAGATATATATTAAAAAGTGCGGGAGACAGTGGAGATCCTTGAGGAACACCGTTTTAGAAGTAAAATGTGGTATTCATTTATGGGCAAATATAATGGAGATTTGTATAGAGGTGATTAAGGAATTTTATTTCGATGCCATCCAAAATTGATTTAGCAGATAAAATATTAAATAGTCTTTATCTATTTATGCTATTGAAGGCATTGCTAAAATCAATAAAGATGCAATCCATTTTATCCTATTTCTTGTAACCAGTTAAAGTATTTAAGAGTCTGATGATATTTATTTGAGTAGATGAACCAGGAATGAATCCTGCTTGACCTTTAGATAAGCGAGTGGACAAATATTGTTATAGTCTTGGCAGAAATCTTAATTCAAGCAGCTTAAATAGGGGACTTAGAATTGTAATAGGTCGAAACTAAGTTTTAGTAGGGATATCGGGGAAAACCTTGTTTAAGGGTACTAGTCTTGCTCTACAGCATGCGTAGTTGGTTTCAATTGTAGATTATTTCCATATATCACAAAAAATATGGACATTTTTACAATTCCTAATAAAATTGTCAGATACGCCATCAAAGCTAATTGCTTTATTTCGTGACATCCTTCTTTGTAGCTCGGTTATATCAAGCGTATTTAAGGGGGGTAAAGAAGGAAGTTTTAAAGGGCGAAATTTTTGACCATTTGATATGATACTAAGTTAGGTAAGACAATTTCTAATAGCAATATCTCCAAATTGTNTGTGAGTTTTTAATTCTGTTTTTGAGAAAGGTCATTATTGATTTACTCAATTTAAACGTTGAATTTCTATTCTAGCGCAGATAATTATGGTAATAGTTAATTCATACTATTGTTTAAAAAATTCAACATGGCAAAAACCCAGTGTGTTAAGTTTACTAGGATATTTTGTAAGGCTGGATCTTAAAAACTTTTTGCTTATTAATGGATCTCGATCAGTGCACTAAGTGCTTATGAGGGGGAGAATTATTCCATACCACAAAATTTTTTTAAAAATTATTCGAATTGTTTATCAAAAAAATAGACTTAAGCAGTACACTTCAATTAAAATGATAGATATCCTAATGCATATAACCCATTTGAAGACTCTAACACCATCTATTCATGTGGATGCTACATAAATTAAAGCATTTATTTTTGTTTTAATAAATTTCCATCTAATGAATATAAATTAACTGAAAATCCAAATTATTAATCTTGATACAATAAAGCAATGTTGATATCATTAGCAGCTAAACGAAGTGTGAAATAAAATAAGTCTTAATATCCTTCTATTGATTATTAAACTACCAAGTTGCCTAATGAATCATAGAATTTTAGATAGATATAATGTCTAAATTAATTTTTCTGTGTTAAATATCCAATAACAAATCCTCCATTTTTTAAGCTTAACAATTTCCATTATGTTAAATAATTAAAATTATCCTATTAATACTGAATTGTACCAACATTAAATTCAACTCCAATTATTTGCATTTACTTATTAAATTTTTTAGCTTTTATAATTGCTTCATTCATTTAAGGATCTCCGTCAACATAAATTATTACAACTGTATCATCCTCTAATACTGCTACTTTTGGAGAATGCTCAATGCCTTGAGATTTAGTGTTAATTTATATATTATCTCCAATTTTAACACCAGTATTAGCTATTAGTTGCCCAAATACTCCCCAATTATTACCATCTTAAAAATAACTTGCCCAAACTACAATGATTGATCCATCACTAAACTTTGCTCCCTCTTATTTTATCAAACCTTTTGATGATTGCTAATTAATTCGAATTGCTCTAGCTTGTATTTCATTTAAAATGCATGTATCTTTTTCTAAATAATATGAATCATTGCAAACTTGACATATTCCCATTTAATCATAATAAAAGCAATTAGTCTTCATACAATAATTTTCATTATCATTGTCTTTTAGAATATATCCAGAATAGCATTTTGTACAGTATTTCTCAGTTAGGCATGTTTAACAATTTTCAGAACAATGGATCTCAAATTTATCAACAAATTATCCACTTTAATTCATGACAGCGTAAGAGATTTCCCATTCACCATTTTCGTTTTGAACAGTCCAAGTAAATCCAACATAACCTTTCATCAAAACAGTTATTTATGTACTACTAATCTAAGCATCACTAGATATAACTCCTGTTGAAAGTTCATTTCCTTACAAATCTAAGAACTAAAATGAGGAATTTTTCAGGTTATCATTTTAAGTCCATTATATGAATAGGTTGTTAGCCACAATGGCCAATTAAATATCTGAATTTCCAGGAATAAAGTCTAATTTAACAAAAATGATTATTAATATCTTATTGCAAATTCTTAAACTCCAATCTTATGCTTAAAATGTCTTGTAAATAAAGATAATAGTTTCTTAATTAATCTCAAATTTAATTTTTTCAATATTAGGAATATCTAATGTAAATGACTATAGAACTATTTTGAAAATTCTGGTACTAAACTGAATTCACAAATTTATATTGACTTATTTAATGCACAAATGTTTAATAAGATTATTTCATTTGAGAATAGTATGAAGGTATATTGGTAGAAATGGATATGTTTAGAAATACAATGCTCCAATTTATTATTATATAAGGAGTATGATGAATTAGGAAATGAAATTACTAATAGTTAAAATATCAAATGCATGTAATAATGTGATGAATGTATAAATGAAAGTTTTTGTACTAAATGTAGTACAAATTACAATTTAGATGCTAATTCATAATGTGTATTATAATGCCCAACAAACTGCAACAAATGTTCAGTTGTTTCTTAATGCGAGATTTGCTAAACTGGTTATGAATTAATTAATTATCAGTGCATCAAATTAAATTGCCCAAATAATTGTGATAAATGTTATAAGGAATAAAATAACATTGTATGCTATTAATGCCAAGATAATTATTATTTGAATCAATTAGACTGTTTACCTTAATGTCCATCCACTTGCAGAACTTGTGACTTACCATTGATTTGTACAAGTTGTCCTGAAGGTTTTGTATTGACATCAGATGCTAAATGTAAATTTGAAGACTAAACTGTTGTTGATTAAGTCAAAAATACAAGTGTGAGCACACCAATAAGATATACATTCCCAGATGGATCCTATGTATTAGTGTGGTACTAAAATGGTGAAAAAGCAGGAGTATATTTCTAATTATACTCTGTCGATAATTCTAAGGTAGGAAGTGAAATCATAGTATCAGATTAGACAAGAAGATTGTTAGTGGATTCTTCAATAACGAAATAATATTATGCTCATTTAGCAGCTCTTGATTACAACTTTTATATTCTTTGGGCTGATTCTACCTCAGATTAGACTAATTTCCTTTTACAAGAATTCGATTCTACTGGTACTAAATTAACATCTGCTTAGTCAATTGGAGTATCTAATAACAATGTTGTGTCATCACTGACTCAACCTTGTTAATTATTACCACTATCCAATAAGAATATGCTTGTATCATTCATGACTCAAAGCCCTGAAGATTAATCAAATTACAACTTTAAATACTNTTCTTCACTTTATATCGTTCACAAGATAGCGAAAATTATTAATGGAATGCTTATTTCATTTTTGAGTCATAATTAACTAAGAAATTAACAATATAGAAATAAATCAATTATTTCACTAATTTAGAAGTTTAAAAAATTGAGTAAGATTATGTAGGAGTTAGTTATTTTTATGACTAAATAGAGGTTTTCAGAATTGGTTAAAATTAATAAGTGATCATACATAAAGTTATATATCTCCAATTGATCGATTCAGATTCATCTACATATAAAGATTGGGCCGTTTTAGTGGCATTGATAAATAATTAATATTCTCTAACTTACATTTAAAATGCATATGATAAAGGTTCATAAGGAAAGATTTACAAGATAACTTTGGATTCTGAATTAGTTCCTATTGGATAGCCCTAAGTTATTTTCCAATAAGAGAATTTAAGCTCAAAAGAAAGAATTGATTCTACTACTTATAGCTTTTATTCCATAAATGGAATAATTCTATGGACAGGAGAGTAATTGATATAGAGGAATTGCCCATATTCTTAAATTTTGAATAGCTATTCCTGTAATATATTTGACTTGTAAAATGGTAATCTAATCTAAATATTTACACAATTTTTTTTCGAACCGAATGCTTTTGTGAAAGGAGGATAATTGAGTTATTACAGACTACTAAATAAGGAATACACACCTATAACTTTAGAAATGAAAATAAATGAAAATAAATTGCAATAGCAAGAATTTATAAAATTTTTATCCTTTTCAAATACATTTGCCATAGTATTAAAGGAATATCCTAGTTATAATTCGTTTAAGTTCTAATTGGTAATTTAATACTTTGAAAATTCTGGTACAAAACTAGGTTCACAAATATATATTGGCTTATTTTAATCTGATACATTTATAAAGTTTATTTAATTAGAGAAAAGTTGTTAGATATTTTGGTAAGAAAGAAAGTGCTTGGATGAAATATGCTTAACATAATAAAATATGATATTATTTAAGGAGTATGATGAATAAGGAAATGAAATTACTAATAGTTAAAATATCAAATGCATGTAATAATGTGATGAATGTATAAATGAAAGTTTTTGTACTAAATGTAGTACAAATTACAATTTAGATGCTAATTCATAATGTGTATTATAATGCCCAACAAACTGCAACAAATGTTCAGTTGTTTCTTAATGCGAGATTTGCTAAACTGGTTATGAATTAATTAATTATCAGTGCATCAAATTAAATTGCCCAAATAATTGTGATAAATGTTATAAGGAATAAAATAACATTGTATGTTATTAATGCCAAGATAATTATTATTTGAATCAATTAGACTGTTTACCTTAATGTCCATCCACTTGCAGAACTTGTGACTTACCATTGATTTGTACAAGTTGTCCTGAAGGTTTTGTATTGACATCAGATGCTAAATGTAAATTTGAAGACTAAACTGTTATTGATTAAGTCAAAAATACAAGTGTGAGCACACCAATAAGATATACATTCCCAGATGGATCCTATGTATTAGTGTGGTACTAAAATGGTGAAAAAGCAGGAGTATATTTCTAATTATACTCTGTCGATAATTCTAAGGTAGGAAGTGAAATCATAGTATCAGATTAGACAAGAAGATTGTTAGTGGATTCTTCAATAACGAAATAATATTATGCTCATTTAGCAGCTCTTGATTACAACTTTTATATTCTTTGGGCTGATTCTACCTCAGATTAGACTAATTTCCTTTTACAAGAATTCGATTCTACTGGTACTAAATTAACATCTGCTTAGTCAATTGGAGTATCTAATAACAATGTTGTGTCATCACTGACTCAACCTTGTTAATTATTACCACTATCCAATAAGAATATGCTTGTATCATTCATGACTCAAAGCCCTGAAGATTAATCAAATTACAACTTTAAATACCAAATAATTGATCCTAATCTTTAGAGTATCAATTCAATTTAAGAGATTCCTAATGTAAGTTATTTAATAGCTCCATCAATTACAGAGGATGACTAAGGAATGATATATATTAGCTACACAAGTAATGGATATATGTTTGTCTAATAAATTACCTAATTAGGAAATCCAGTTAATTAACCTTAAGCCATTAGTGATGATGGAACATTTGCACTTAAAACAGCTTATTTAAAAAGTGGAATGTTTGTATTCTTATGGGAAAACAAGAATATATAAACATATAAAGCCTTATTCAGTCTAAACTATTAATTAATTTCTAAGGATTTATCTTAAAAAAGTGAAGTTAAGGGAATAGGAAGTTCTTAAGTTAAAGAATAAACACCAGAATTAAAATAATTCAATAATGGATTCATAGTAGCCTGGTAAACTACAGATTCACAATACTAAGCAGATGGAATAAAATTCTAAATATTTGATTCTTTGGGTGTCTAATTGACTGAGATTATAAATGTAGCCATTTCAGGAAAATATCCTTAAAATCCTAACATTCAAATAATAAATGATGATTAGTTTGCCATTACATACATATCCAAAGGTTTAGATGTTGATGGATCTATTTTGGGAGGTAGTATTCAAATCAAGTACTATAATAAATAAGGACAAGAGTACTTTGTCACAACTTCTCAATTATGTGGAAAAGAATGTAACATTTGCTAATCTCCATTAAATTGCTATAGATGCTCATATGGTTATTATCTATCTTAGGATAATTAATGCATGATGGATTGTGGTCTATATTGTAATTAATGTGAAGTTCCTTTGGTCTGTAAATCTTGTGTAAGTGGTTACGAATTAAATTCAAGTAATTCCTGTACTGAAGTTTCATGTCCTGCAGGATATTAAAGAAACCAAAAGACTAAATTATGTGATCCTGAATGTCCAAATGAATGTGTTTGCTCTCTTCCAAATATCTGTAGTTCTTGCATAGCTGGCTATTATTTAAAGGATAGTTAATGTCATTTGTCATCTAATCCTCTCTCCGAGAGTCCCATTTCTAACCCTTATATCTTCTATGCATTAATAGTTGTTTGTCTAATATTACTTATAAATTGGATTTGCTGTTATAAATGCTATATTCACCATAGATAAAAGTAGAAAGTACATTTATCAGATGAAAATATGGGACAATTATCTTCTGCTGGAGAACGCTAATAAACAGATAACAGGATATAATAAGAAACTGTATCAGCAGATCCTATGATAAAAAAAGAGAAAACTAATGAGAATATTTCCTAGCTACAAGTTAAGAGCGACAAAGATAATGATAATCAATAACCTTTTGATTATGGTTAACAGCATAATAAGATAATTACCAAATAAAACAATAAATATTTATCAATCATTAGCTTAGATGAAAAATGAAAATATAATGAACATTATAAAATAACACAATTATGACAATTCTTATTTTCTTTAAATTTCTTTCACATCTTTGTAATTATTCCCAAGGAATATAGGTTTCCATCCTTCAGAAATCATAATTTCCTTTTTGGCTTATATCTTACCTGTAAGCTGTTGCCTCTGAAATAAACTGAGCCTGATAGTTCAAACGCAATTTTAGCATCTTGAAACAACAATTCAACATCAATTAGATATATCCAGCAAGGAGCATCAACTTTAATCTTAACTTTTTCATCTAAGGAATTAATATATTATCTGAAGAAATTTATTAGTATATTTTCTTATAAAGACTTCTACATCTATTTACTAACGCGTTTAGGTTTCATTTAGATTTGAGGTAGTGACAATTCAGGATGACGCAGTTTTAATATTTTAATTCAAGTTAAATAACCCTAAGATAGTTTAGAAATTATAAAAATACATTTTAAAATGAATAATTTCTACTTTCAAGCAATTTTGTAGATTTTTATAATTTTTTTTCTATAACATGTAATATTTCAGCATCATTAACATTTGCATAGATTAAAGCAAAAATTCTCTAAAAAACTTTATTTTATTAATATTTATTGGTCACTTTAATTTAATATAGAAGTTCAGATTTTAAAATGAGTAATAAATCCTAATCAATGTTTCCATTGGTTTTCCAGATTTCTAATATTCTATCCAATTCTCGATGAGGAACTGCAGAATCGAGTTATTTTTCTCTCTGAATGATTTATTCAATTATTTCAGATTCAGATCCATAACTTTAATATATGGTTATTAGGTTATTAAGATCTAATTCATCTAGATGACACATCTAAATTCTTAAAATAATTCATTATATGAGACACATCCTA